GCCTAAAAATCAAGGCCAGATCATGAATGTGGGGCTAAGGGCACTAGCTCCAGACAACCTAACTGTAACTTTGTTCGGTAATATGTACCACCAAAGAGCATAATATCAGCTGATATTGGTGGACATTCACACATTCCTAAATGAATATCTGTTGATATTTGACTAATAATCAAATGATCCTGTTGTTGTTGAACAAAATCTAGTCATTATTGATTGTGCTCCGCTCACTGGCTCCTCTGCAGGATGCTCTCAGTTGAAATACATGAATAAAAGACACATATTGTGTTACAGCAAAAGGTCCATGGGGGATGCAGCTTGATGGTCCTCACAGCAGCGGTTATCTGATGCAGGCTGGCCTCACACCCACTGTCCAGCAGCTTATGGAGCTGCAGATAGCAGCAGCTGAGAGACTTTATCAGAAACAAGCCCTTGACACACTGCAATGTATCTGCTGCAATAGAGCCTCTGACACACATTTTGATCACTTTCCTCCTTGTCACAGTGTAGAATATATATAAGACATTTTTAAGAGGTGGAACTATAAGTAACTAGTAGCTATAACTCAAGGAAATAATAAAAAAAAGCATTTCCCTATTGAAACATTATTATTTATTTATCTAGTAAGGAAACCCTAGAGCAGATGCAGCACTCAAACCTGCTAAAATAAAAAATCCCTAATAAACAAAAATAAGTTGAGCAGCATCAGAAGACCCCCCCTCAGCAGCTGCACTGAGGTCAGCCACATGAATGATATGGTAGAAACATCCAGTGTGACGCACATACAGCAGCAGATAGCGCAGTAGTGCGGAGCCCCCACCCTGGCCCGGCTGCGCTCCGATAACGCAGAGGAGGGGGAAACAACAAGACACCTCGGTTTCTCCACACAGGGAAGGAATTATTACTTCATCTCCTTTTCACTCTGCATCCGTTTCTGTGTCCATCGGCCATCAGTGAAGTGATAAAATGGTCGATTAACAGCTTTTACGCACACATCGTTGACGCCTGGTGTGAATCCGACTGTGACCTCCGCTGGGAAGTCACCTCGCTCTCTTGGCTGCAATGCTCTCAAAAAGGGAGAAAGAGCTCATTGCAGAAATATGGGGAAGACTGACTCCTGTGGCAGAAGATATTGGGTCAGATGCGCTTCTTAGGTAGGTTCATAAGAAACTTTCTGTGGGTTTGAAATAAACTGTTGATACAGACGTGTGCAAAAAGTCTGGTGTTTGTTTGTTTGTAAATGTTAAAGCTTCAATCACAATGACAAAAAACAAACAATTAGGCTCAATATAGGTATGAATATCTATATGGGCTCTCCTGACCCACATTGTCAGTGAAGAATTTATGTTTTTTAAAACCTTTTATTAATACGTTTGTGACATTTATAACCTCAGACTTAATGGTTACAAAGCATTGGTAAATGGTTTATTAACTATTGGTTTGGCAATTGATATGAATGAATCCAATGTAAGAGCGTTGCACCATGTGAATTAAAATGACTCAAATGTTGATGGTTTACTCGGAAACATCAGGTTGTGGTTTCTAGGTGCTGGCACTGATCCAAGATCAGTGAAATGTTCAAATGAGTGAGCTGTGAGTCCACTGATGATGATGATGATGATGATGATGGCGATGATGATGGCATCAATGACAAGCACTAAAAGGAGTGGCCAGACTCTCCATTGCTAATGTTTTTGTATTTCACTGACAAAAGTGTTAAAGTCCAGTGTGTAACATTTAGGAGGATCTATTATCAGAAATGGAATATAATGTTCATAGGTATGTTTTTCATTAGTGTATATCACCACAACAAACTGTAGGAATTGTTGTGTTTTCATTACCTTATACTGGTTGTACGTAGGGCCTCTCACGTAGTTTCTCCTACACCCTCCACACCCCTGTCCCATTCCAGGTTGTCAAATACAGACGGGAGCTGTGTTCAGTTAGTTGCAACCTCACTGTTCACTTGTTTTTGGATTACTGCTGCATTTATGTGTACATAGTATTTTACTGCTGTCCATGTTTTTGGTTGAGCTCATTTGAACTACTTTATAGTTAAATCTACAGCAATGCATCACATTCTGTAAGATCATCATATGTTTGTAGCGGTGCTGTCCTGTGAGAACCACATAGCTCCAATAAGTCAAATTTCATGAGCACAGAATAACAGTCCTGTTTTCAGCATTGTGACAATGCAATAAAATATTGTTTATTTAGTGGACTAAAACGTACAATATTTGCCTCTGAGATGAAGTGCAGCAGAAGTATAAAGTAGCATAAAATGGCAATACTCAAGTAAAGCACCTCAAATTTGTACTTTAAGTACAGTACTTGAGCAAATGCACTTAGTTACATTCCACCACTGAGCATTACAGCACTTTTCCCAATTCTTCCACAGGATGTTTGCCACTTTCCCAGGAACCAAGACGTACTTCTCCCATCTAGACATCAGCCCTCGCTCCGCTCACCTGCTCTCTCATGGGAAGAAGATTGTTTTGGCCATAGCAGAGGGAGCGCAAGACATCAGCCAGCTGGCCGTAAGCCTGGCTCCCCTGCAAACCCTCCATGCCTACCAGCTCAGAATAGACCCGACCAACTTCAAGGTGCAGCTACTAGAACATCAGTTCCACTGATGGTGATAATAACACTCACATGTTCTTCATGGAGTTTTCAGTGGTGTGGAAATTACATCATCTCACACCCATATCAGATCAAACTCTACTGACAGCAGCGGTTTACAGCTTCAAAACCAACATGTCTATAATATTTCTCTCAACATGTAGCTTAATGTGTACTTAACAAATACATTTTTTATATATGGAGATATACAATACTTTTCTTTTTAAAGTTATTTTTTTTGGCCTTTGGAGATATACAATACTGACTGGGAACAAGAAATATTGTGGAATACACCCTTGCATTTTACTGCAGAGCATATCTATTTCTGTTTCCCATAGAAACACAAATTTAACATATACATATTATAACAGACCTTTTTTACAGGAGCCATTTTGACCTGAAACAGTGGGGTAAACACAGGTGTTACCAATGAATGAATAATCAAGGGGTTTTTTTGTAGTATCAGAGGAGATTTTTTGTCTTTTGGAAACAAACTTACTTCACTGATAAACACACAGCTGCAGGGGTTCCCTTGTGTCTGCTATGTTCTTGTTGGAACACTTTGGACAGTTTATCTGATTGAGAGTGGGGCTGGGGTGAGTTTTGAGAGGAAACTTGACAGGATTCTGAGTATTCAGTCTTATATCTGAATTTGTCTGTGGTAATCTGTTGTTCTGGGTATTACTACATCGCTATTCTCCTGCCTTTTAACTTCTCCCATAGAGTTTAAAACAGTGTTTTCTAATTCACTCCCATATTCACATTTGGTATTAACAGGCATGACCCAAGTGTTCAGTTTTTATGTATAAGTTTACTATGCTGTACTAAGTGTCAAATATTTCAAAGAAGAAACTGACTTTAATTACAACACTGACATGAGTTACATTTAGAATATTAGGTATACAAAAGAATCAGGATTCATATATTTTATGACTCCTGTAATATGCCACTATTATATATGCTTTAAACTACAGCTTCATGTTACTTCTGGAAAGTAATGTACGATTGGCAGTCTAACCGGGTCACATGACTCATTGTACAAACTAGTTTATTTGCAGACGAAAGCCTCATAAAACACTTTAAACCCTAATTTTATTGACATCCTAATATGTTTTTTTTAAAGATTTTTATTAGTTTTTGCTGAGCCTCAGCTGAATTCAGCATTAAGTCCTTTGTCAATAACAAACCTTTCTCTTCTCTGCAGCTTTTCTCACACTGTATGCTCGTCACCCTGGCCTGTCACATGGGCGACGACTTCACACCGGTTGCACACGCAGCAATGGACAAGTACCTGTCAGCTTTCGCAGCTGTGCTCGCTGAGAAATACAGATGAGAGCCAGCTATCTGTTTTTAGGAAGTACAGTATATGAACTATTTATGATGCCGTATGATATTTAATACAATATTTATGTATGTGTGGTTGTTATAATGCAATTTTTTGTAATAATAAAAATGTGCAATTAACACCTTTCCTGCTGCTGCGTTGTATTACCATGTAAAGCCTAGAAGGACATCCCATTATTATACAAATGATGTACTGCTGACCATTTTCAAAGCATACCATATAGCAGTTAGAATGTTTTTTTCATTTAAAGGTATCTCTCTTTCTGAGACTTAAAACTTGTTTCAGACGAGTAATCCCTCACAGTGAGCTCTCAGTAATTTAATGCTGGGGCATTTTATTGTTTGTGGGAATACAATAAACTATCAAATTCATGCTGTTTGACTTTGTTCTGGGTTTTATATGCAGTGCTAATCAGTGGCCAAACTCATGGCCAACTCACAGGTCTGGTCTATGGTTAAAGCCTGCTGGACAGCAGCAGAATAACAGCAGACAGACCTGGGTTATATATACTGCAACAGCACCACCATTTGGTGAGATGATATTATACTCAGCTGCATGACAGAGTTAATGACTGGGAGTGGGTGCAGTAAGGAATACTTGCATAATAATGTAGTTATCTCACCCTGTAGTCTGTGGGCCAGTATTGATCTTCTGTGTCTAATGTTAAATTCATAATGATCCTTACTGCCTGAAGTCAACTACTACTGGCCCATTTTAGGGTGCACTAAATATACAACAGTACTCATAGATGTCACTGTTTATAACACAGGGCCTTAATCCTTTGCTGTATGAGGTGCCATTTGTAAAGTGGCTCACGCTGAAAATAACAGCAA